TAGCCGAGTTAGTCTAGTGTAGCTGAAACAAAAACCAGGACTATGTAGCACTTTGAAGACTAACAAGATGGTTTATGAGGTGATGAGCTTTCGTGGGCCAGACCCACTTCCTTTGTATCCTTTGGTATATATGGTTGTGACAATTTTCTTCCACTATTTGATCTGAGGAAGTGGGTCTGCCCCACGAAAGCTCATCATCTAATAAACCCTCTTGTTAGTCTTCAAAGTGCTACATAGTCCTGGTTTTTGTTTCAGTATCTATGGAGGCACTGCCAGCCTGAGACCTGAGCAACCAGGGCAATATGCTGAGGGGACACATTTGAATAGTCTCATGTGACCTTACCTGGGGCCAGCCAGCTAAATAGGCGGGAAACCCAGCAGCCACCTCAGCCAAGGTCAGAGGCACTTACCTGTGTCAGGTAAATCCTCTGCTCTGGTAGGAGCAGGAGCAGCAGCAGGGTGGGTGCCCAGGGCAGGCGTGTCCCATTCTCCCTGGGACAGAGAGCCCACCAGAAAAGCTCTGTGGTGAGAGGGTGGGGCAGGCTGTGCTGGAAGAGGCTCGGGGTGGGCAGCTGAGTTTGGTGGGGATGGAAGAATTGTGTCTGTGTGCGCAGTTTCCCTCTGTGTGCCGGCTGGCTGGGATTTGGAGCAACCCTGCTATCTGGATGTGTGCTAGTGTAGTGCAGGTGTGGGTCACACACCCCTTTTTTCCCTTGCCCCCTAAGAGCCCCATAGGGGAACTGAGGAGAGCTGGGCTACTGGCTCAGGAGGGGGGTATAAGTTGTTGGGGGGAGACCTTTAAATTGCCCCCTCCCACCACCACCCATGAGCAGTTGGTCTTGTCCTCCTGCTTCCCTGGCTGGCTCAGAAGTTTTGCTCACTTTTTTGGGGTGGGGGGGGGAGAGCTGCTGCTGCTTCTGCTTCCCCAGTGTGAGGCGGGTGGGTGCAGAGATGAGTGTTACTGAAATCAGCTCTACCATGTGTCCCTGAGGCAATGAGTCACAGGGGGTGATGTCTGGCTGGATGGTTGAAACATTTTATCTTCCATTCAATTCTGAATGACCTATCCACACCCTCAGGTTTTGTTTGTGTGTATTTATCAATATGCTGAAGTTTCTCCGGTCAGGGGGCCTTGTTGGAGCTGTTTTTGAGCAGTGTTGTTCTTTCATTAAGATTAACAATAAGGACATTTTCTTTGCTCCCATCTTAACCTACAAACCTTTTTCATGCTCTGGAAGTCACTGGGGTTCCTAAAGCAAAATGCAGGACAATGTAGCACTTTAAAGACTAACAAGATAGTTTATTAGATGATGAGCTTTCGTGGGCCAGACCCACTTCCCACGAAAGCTCATCATCTAATAAACTATCTTGTTAGTCTTTAAAGTGCTACATTGTCCTGCATTTTGCTTCAGCTGCACCAGACTAACACAGCTACATCTCATTCACTGGGGTTCCTAGTGTGAGAATCTGTGGGTAGGGTGTGATTGTTGTGACTTGCAATTTCAATGAGGCACTTAAACTTAGAAAAACTCAGGCTCTTTCCCACCCCAACCCCCCACATCTCCTGTGCAATGCTTCACCCCTGCTGCTCTGGCTTATAAAAAGGGTTGGTGGAATGCACTCTTTATGTTTTATAACTTTGTGTCAATGTTTTAAGTTTTTCATCTTTTATAATTTTTACAGTTATTGGGAAATTATGGAGGGAGGTCCAATAATTTTATAATGACAAAGTAGAGATGAAAAGAGTTCAAGCTTTAAAGCTGTTAAAACCCAAACAGAGACACAAGGTGGGTGAAGTAATATCTTTTTTTTTAAATTATTTTGGAACAGTTTTGTTGGTGAGAGATTAGCCCTTTTGAGCTCGCAGATCTGGGAAGAGCTCTGAGGAGTTCCAACCACAAAAGCTCATCATCTAATAAACTATCTTTGTTAGTCTTTAAAGTGCTACATAATTTTTTTTCCTTTTGTTTTACCAAAGGTTGTCTCTGTCACCAACCACATTTGGTTCAATTAAAAATATTACTTCACTTATCTTGTGACTCTTATCCAGACACCAATATGACTATATCAAAACAGCAAAAAGCACCATATCACATGTCAAGATATACAAAATAATTATCCTAACACCAGACATGATTTGTTGATTTAACTGTTCATTCACTCATCCATTTGTGACAAGCCCAGTTCAGAAGTTTATATCATTAAAATTTAACTCTAACAAGTGCTCAGGAAGCATTTTTCTTGTTTTTCCTATCTGTAAATAATTTAATTATAACTGATGGAAATATTTCAGAATTTCTGTGTACTGTGAAATCAGTGTTGACTCTGGCCACAGTGCCTGTGCCAGCTCCAAGCCTGCCAGCCCTGACCCAGTGGCCCCAAAACATGAGCCAGCTAGCCAGCCCTAAAATTTAACTCTAACAAGTGCTCAGGAAGCATTTTTCTTGTTTTTCCTATCTGTAAATAATTTAATTATAACTGATGGAAATATTTCAGAATTTCTGTGTACTGTGAAATCAGTGTTGACTCTGGCCACAGTGCCTGTGCCAGCTCCAAGCCTGCCAGCCCTGACCCAGTGGCCCCAAAACATGAGCCAGCTAGCCAGCCCTCCACTGCTCCCTAGAAGTAGTCTGCCAGCTCCCAGGAGCCTGCCAGGGCCCGGAGAAGGCAGGTGCCTTCCTGGTCCACGGTGGAGATCATGGACCTTATTCAGGTTTGGAAGGGATATCCCCAATGTTCATGATCTCGTCCATGATCTCTGCACGAGATGGAGGAATGGGGCCGTCTAGGGCAGGATAGCTGCCAGCCTGGCCACCAAAGGCCACATTCGAACCTAGGAACAGGTTCACATGAAAATCAAGTTGGTCTGGCAAGACCCCCAACCCTGAGCCCTGAGCTTCCCCTCCCCCTTATTCCTGTTGCTTCCCCCTTCTAGCTCCCTCCGCCCAGGTTTCCCCCTCCCTTGAGATGGAGGAATGGGGCCGTCTAGGGCAGGATAGCTGCCAGCCTGGCCACCAAAGGCCACATTCGAACCTAGGAACAGGTTCACATGAAAATCAAGTTGGTCTGGCAAGACCCCCAACCCTGAGCCCTGAGCTTCCCCTCCCCCTTATTCCTGTTGCTTCCCCCTTCTAGCTCCCTCCGCCCAGGTTTCCCCCTCCCTTTTCCCACCCTCTCTCCTCCCCTCTTCCACCTCCTCTCCCCAGTTTCACCAGTTTCATCTCCCTCTCCCCAGTTTTGTTAAATATAGAGAGTTTGTATATGAAAATATGTATATCTTATTTGACATCAGGAAGGGGGGCTAGGGATAAAGGATCTTTCAGAAAAGGCTTTATTTTCCGAAAGATCCGCGTCTAGACTGGCGCTTTTTTCCGGCAAAGGTCCATGCCGAAAAAAAGCAGCAGCCATTTTTATGCTAATGAAGCGAGAGAGATTTAAATCCCCGCTTCATTAGCAATTGCTATATGTCTAATTTGCATCCCTTTTACGAAAAAGGGATGCAATCTAGACGTAGCCAAGTAGTTTTCCAGAAGGATACTTTGACTTTTACTAAGTTACGTTGTTTTTCAAAGTAGCAGTGCTTTTACTCAAGTAACTTTTGGGGGTACTTTATCCGCCAGGACTCACTAGGGCCTAATTTGATATCATTTGTTTAGCCAGTTGCTACAAGTTCGCCACCTGCTGGCTGGATGTGGGAATCAGGGTTGGAAGAGACCTCAGGAGGTTGAGTCCAGTCCAACTGCCTGCCCAAAGCAGGACCAAGCCCAACTAAATCATCCCAAGCAGGGCTTTGTCAAGCCGGGACTTAAAAATCTCTAGGGATTCCACCCCTCCCTAGGGAACCGATTCCAGTGCTTCACCACCTTCCTAGTGAAACAGTTTTTCCTAATATCCAATCTAGGCCTCCCCTAATGTAACTTGAGACCATTGCTCCTCGTTCTGTCATCTGCCACCACTGAGAACAGCCTCTCTCCATCCTCTTTGGAACCCCCTTCAGGTAGTTAAAGGCTACTATCAAATTCCCCCTTTTCTGTAGACTAAAGAAGCCCAAATCCCTCAGACTCTCCTCATAAGTCTTGTGCATAAGTCATGTACTCCAGCCGCCTACTCATTTTTGTTGCCCTTCGCTCAACTCTCTCCAATGTGTCCACATCCTTTCTATAATGGGAGCCCAGAACTGAATGCAATACTCCAGATGTGGCCTCGCCAGTGCTGAATAAAAGGGAATAATCACTTGCCTAGAGCTGCTGGCAATGCTTCTCCTAATGCACCCCTGTATGCCGTTAGCCTTACTTGCGGCTGGGTGTTGGATTGGCCTTTTAACATTTTTGGATGTATTGAAGTACATCCATGATAAAAAGCTCTGTACACTGTCCACACAAACATTAGTCCCCAAAGCACTGCCTTAGTTCTCCTATGTAGTCCCTCCACTGGCAAAATGCTGAGTAAATATTAGTTAATTATCATTAATTCAATAAACCCTGAAAGTCAAGAAAATCAGGCTCTATCGCTCTTGTTGCCCACCCTTCAAATCTAGGCAAAAGCAGCTCAGGATAGCCCAGCCATGGCAGAGAGTCTGTGAGAAGCCAGACAGGACCCTAACCATAGCGAGCTACATTACTCGATGCCACCTCTTTGAACTGCAGCTGGAGGCAGACTGGAAGCTAATGTGATCTTTGGAGAACAGATATAATATGCTCCCTGGGCTTAACAATGCTATGTGGGGAGACAGTGTGGCCTACTGGTTAGTACACTGATTGGGACGTATGAGACCTAGATTCTATTCCTGCCTCTGCCACAGGGTAAGTCGTGGCCCCCGTTTATGCCTCAGTTTCCCCATATGAGTCATGATGCTAACCTTTGTAAAATGCTTTGAGATTTACTGATGAAAAATGTTATGTAAAAGCTGTACAGTGATGTTGTAGCCATGTCACTCCCAGGATATTAGAGACAAAGTGGGTGAGGTGGTATTTTTTTTTAATCAGTTTCTGTTGGAAGCCATACGAAGCTCTTCTTTGGGTCTGCGAAACAACTGTATAAGAGCTAGATATTAAGTGAACAGGCTGCTGCATGCGCTCTATACTCTGTAGTGTCCCTGTTGCAACTGGGTAACTTCTGATAACATAGCCACGATTCAGTCTGCAAATTTTAGAATTATAGTTTTATATGGTAATGGAGCAGTAGTAGCTCCGCTCCTTTTAAATTTGGTGAAGACTTACTAGACTTTAGCAGGGGGAGGGGAATTTTCCTATCTGATCCACTGTTCTGCACCCTAAACCTCACTAGCAGCATATAACCTACATTTGATTTTTTTTGTGTATGTGCGTGTGTGTACATTTGATTTTGTGTGTGTGTGTGTGTGTGTGTGTGTGTGTACACACACACACACTACATGCAGTCTAACAGGCCACTTGACCGGAAAGCTGGAGACATGGGTCCTATTCCCAGCTCAGTCTCTGATCTCCTACCTTAGACAAGTCATCCCCGCCACCCCACCCACTCCCCCGCCTCAGTTTTCTCATTTGCAAATTGGGGAAAATACTTTGAAATCTGTGGCTGAAAGGCACTAAGAGGTAGGTGTTACTAATTAAACACACTGTGCATACCGTTGGGCCACCTCCTGCAGAGCTATTGCAAAGGACATGACCACCCAGGCCTCCGAACAGGGCTTGAAAAATGTACTCCCTGACTTGCTGCTGCTAAGAAGGAAAGTTGCCCTGGTGATTAAGCTACTCACATGCATATTTGCAGGCTAACAGCCTGTGTACATACTTTATAAGTATCAGATTCTTTGATAGTTTCCTGACTAGAAGGTCTAGGCCTAGAGGGTACAAATGAATGAGACACAATATTCTCTCGGGAACATTCCAGACATTCAATTGTCCCTGGAAACACTCAAAGTAACAGCTTTGGCTTGAGCACTGAATCTATGGGGGTAAGTGAGAGGTGCAGGGAAACTGTGAGAGCAAAAAGTCTGTCCCGCCATGTCCAGGACGTGATGGAGTCACCTTCTTCAGGCTGAACTGTGTGTGTTCAGTCAGGAACTTTATCACACCCTGGCCAATGTCATGCATGCCAGAACTATGGGCACTGCACAATGCCAGCTACCAGCCTGCCGCCTTTGTGTGCTGCCATTTAACTGAGGCTGTGCCGCTCACACACCAAGTGCAGGGGAACAGACACCTCCAACAAGGTTGATCCGGAGATCAGGACTTAATTCTGCCCCAAAGCCTCCTTCTGATGCTCACCCCAGCTCCCCAGGGCTCCTTTTTTCTCCATTTTTATTTACTGTGAATGGGGAAAGCTAGGAGAGTGAGGGTAGGAATAGCAGGGAAAAGGCTGGATGGTGGAGTAGGGGTGGTGGTTAGGGGTGTGATTTGGCTTGTACGGCAGGAACGAAGTGGGGGAGCTGTGGAGTAGGAATGGGGGGGACTAAGGAGTAGGAATGGGCTGGTGGGGGAGCTCAGCTGTGTGGCGGGGGACCAAAAAGGGTGGGTGGTGCAGCACGTGGGGTCTGTATGGTCCTGTTTGCACCAGCCCCGTGCAGCACGTGGGGTCTGTATGGTCCTGTTTGCACCAGCCCCGTGCAGCACGTGGGGTCTGTATGGTCCTGTTTGCACCAGCCCCGTGCAGCACGTGGGGTCTGTATGGTCCTGTTTGCACCAGCCCCGTGCAGCACGTGGGGTCTGTATGGTCCTGTTTGCACCAGCCCCGTGCAGCACGTGGGGTCTGTATGGTCCTGTTTGCACCAGCCCCGTGCAGCACGTGGGGTCTGTATGGTCCTGTTTGCACCAGCCCCGTGCAGCACGTGGGGTCTGTATGGTCCTGTTTGCACCAGCCCCGTGCAGCACGTGGGGTCTGTATGGTCCTGTTTGCACCAGCCCCGTGCAGCACGTGGGGTCTGTATGGTCCTGTTTGCACCAGCCCCGTGCAGCACGTGGGGTCTGTATGGTCCTGTTTGCACCAGCCCCGTGCAGCACGTGGGGTCTGTATGGTCCTGTTTGCACCAGCCCCGTGCAGCACGTGGGGTCTGTATGGTCCTGTTTGCACCAGCCCCGTGCAGCACGTGGGGTCTGTATGGTCCTGTTTGCACCAGCCCCGTGCAGCACGTGGGGTCTGTATGGTCCTGTTTGCACCAGCCCCGTGCAGCACGTGGGGTCTGTATGGTCCTGTTTGCACCAGCCCCGTGCAGCACGTGGGGTCTGTATGGTCCTGTTTGCACCAGCCCCGTGCAGCACGTGGGGTCTGTATGGTCCTGTTTGCACCAGCCCCGTGCAGCACGTGGGGTCTGTATGGTCCTGTTTGCACCAGCCCCGTGCAGCACGTGGGGTCTGTATGGTCCTGTTTGCACCAGCCCCGTGCAGCACGTGGGGTCTGTATGGTCCTGTTTGCACCAGCCCCGTGCAGCACGTGGGGTCTGTATGGTCCTGTTTGCACCAGCCCCGTGCAGCACGTGGGGTCTGTATGGTCCTGTTTGCACCAGCCCCGTGCAGCACGTGGGGTCTGTATGGTCCTGTTTGCACCAGCCCCGTGCAGCACGTGGGGTCTGTATGGTCCTGTTTGCACCAGCCCCGTGCAGCACGTGGGGTCTGTATGGTCCTGTTTGCACCAGCCCCGTGCAGCACGTGGGGTCTGTATGGTCCTGTTTGCACCAGCCCCGTGCAGCACGTGGGGTCTGTATGGTCCTGTTTGCACCAGCCCCGTGCAGCACGTGGGGTCTGTATGGTCCTGTTTGCACCAGCCCCGTGCAGCACGTGGGGTCTGTATGGTCCTGTTTGCACCAGCCCCGTGCAGCACGTGGGGTCTGTATGGTCCTGTTTGCACCAGCCCCGTGCAGCACGTGGGGTCTGTATGGTCCTGTTTGCACCAGCCCCGTGCAGCACGTGGGGTCTGTATGGTCCTGTTTGCACCAGCCCCGTGCAGCACGTGGGGTCTGTATGGTCCTGTTTGCACCAGCCCCGTGCAGCACGTGGGGTCTGTATGGTCCTGTTTGCACCAGCCCCGTGCAGCACGTGGGGTCTGTATGGTCCTGTTTGCACCAGCCCCGTGCAGCACGTGGGGTCTGTATGGTCCTGTTTGCACCAGCCCCGTGCAGCACGTGGGGTCTGCATGGCTGTGTCCACACCAGCATCTTTGAACCGGCAAGTCGGAGCAAGCAGTGACACACACCTCTGTGGGGCCAGCGGTAGGGCTGCTGCGGGGGTAATGCCAATTCGGAGGGTCTGCGCGCTGACTTCGATTAATTTAGAGTGCTAAAAATAGCAGTGCAGCCATGGGAACTGTGGCTAGCTCCTCCGTGCAATCCAAAGGCCTAGGGCACATGCCAAGCCCCCCATGCAGTCACTCCACTACAGTATTTGTAAGTGCTACCTGGAACAGGGCTAGTGCCTGTCTTATTACCCCGGCTGGGAATTACGTCTCCCAACTGCAGTGCAGACATACCCCAGGGAGAAGGCTTTGGCCTGTGTGAATCTCTGGATCTGAACATTGGTCCTCTTTAAGATTGTAAGAAGGTAACATTCCCTGGATTTGCAGTGAAGTCTCTGATACAGTGTATGGTAGGGATGTTAAAATTTCAATTAATCAGCTAATTGAGTAGTTAATGGAATTTCCATTGACTACTCAATTAGTTGATAAGGGGGGTGCTAACTATCCCATGCCTCTGCCTTTGAAATGGATAACAGCTGCTTGTGGCTCTTGTACATTTAAAAGGAAGAGGCTCAGCAGTTGGGACTCTGCACGAGCAGGGACTGCTTCAGTCCCGTTCTTGCCGTTCCCCCGCTGCTCCTCTGCCTCCCTTTTCCCCCGACCCTAGTTCCTGCTCTCCCCTACTTGATGTCTCTGATACAGAGGCAGCAAGGGAGGGGGTTGGGAAGCAACTAGTCGAGTAATGTATGGCTGAGGGCTGATAGCTAGCAGTGGAACTAGACAAATTCAGACTAGAGAAAAGGCACATGTTATTTAGCACTGTGGGCAGTTAATGGTTGGAACACGGTGCCAAGGATGGACTGATGATCTGCTCTAGTTTTCTGTAGGGTCCAATCTTTGTTGGTCTCTGGGCACTCCATAACAATACAAAGGGATGAATTAAGGCAGTGGTCCCCAACCTTTCGGGGCTGCCAGGCGCCCAGGGGTGGGGCCGTGCATGTGCCGTGCACCCGGGGTAGGGGCCGCGTATGTGCTGGGCACCCGGGGCACAAGAATGTTTCAGGCCAGCCCTGGTCACTAGGTGGGTGCCCATAAATGCTCTGGCGGGCGCCATGGTGCCCGCAGGCACCACGTTGGGGACCATTGAATTAAGGGAACCACTGTCATGCAGGAGGTCAGAGTAGATTATCACAATTCTGGCCTTTGAGACAAGTCTATGAATCCTGTTTCCCATGCCTCTTAGTGGCCATACTGCCAGAAACGCTGCAGCTACTGCAACTTCAACAAGTACATTCCCCGTGGTCTGGACGAGGCGTCCATGAGGAGCTGTCTCACTCAGGAAGCCCGGACCCTGATCCAACTCAGCCAGGTCCACAGGTGGGTCCTGCCACAAGAGGGGAGAGAACAGTGGTTGGGGGAAGGGGAGGTAATGGGATGGCCTTTCTCCACAGCCTTAACAGGAGGCAGGGAAAGGGTGTGACCGTGACATAACCAGAAGGACCCTGACTTCTGGTACATGGGCAATGATGGGGGTGGGGGTTAAGCCCCCGTGTGCCGACTCTGCTCCCCGGCCAGAGAGCTGCGGGGAGCAATTAAGCCCCAGTGCCCTGACCCTGCTGTCCAGCTACAGTGCCAGACAGAGTGGGGTTAGTCTCTGCACCTCATCCCGTTTCCTGGCTGGAGCGCAGGGCAGGCTGGCAGGGCAAGAGCTGGGCAGGAGGAGAGCCATGGGGCCTGCATGAGTGGGCCTGGATGCCAAGTGGGTGGCCCTCAGCCCACTCAGGCCAACCCATGACTACGCCACGGTTGTGTGGGAGGCAGAGGTTAAGCTCGGCCCTGCTGCATTCCACAAAGGCTGCACTGGTCTCTACCTTGGAGCCAGGCCCAGAGCTGCCACTAGCTGGGTGTGGCATCTTTGACACATGCCCCCTTTCCTGCTGTGGTAGGAGCTGAAGCTGGTGGCTTTCCAGTAGGGGGTCCATTGTGGTCGAAGGGTGGGATGAACTGTCTAGAAGCAGCTGGGGCATAAGGAGGAGGATTCCTCCCCTGTAGTGAGTCTGGAGGTAGCCTCTTCAGCAGCCCATTCACCCCGTGAGACTCTGGGTCTCTTTTCCCTCTGCTCTGCAGGATCAGCTCGGTGTTCTTTGGTGGGGGCACCCCAAGCCTGGCCAGCCCGCAAACCATCGCTGCCGTCCTGGAGACCATCTCCCGCTGCGCCCACTTGGCTGCGGACAGGGGCCTCTCGGCTGGCAGAGTTCCGGGCGTCAGGCATCAATCGCCTCTCCATCGGCATCCAGGTGAGAGAGCAGGAGATATGCCCGCTTTATCCTTCACGCACGCACTTCCTCCTGCCACCCATACTTCTTTCTCAGAGTCACTCTCTCTGTCTTCTCCCACCGCCTCCTGCTCTGTCTCATTCCTTCTGTCACCTCCTACTGCAGTACAGGACAGAGCAGGAGCCTGCGGGAGAAGTCTACTTCACAGTCTTTCTCCCTCTCGTTGTCTCCTCCCATGCCCTCCTTACCTCTTTCGTGCTTCTCCTTGCTCCCCCATCCTCCAACCCACTCTGTAGCAGGCAGCCTAGAGCATCTTGCTGGTCCTTGTTCTCCACAGTCCCTGGACGATGCAGAACTGATACTCCTTGGGAGGGACCACACGGCTCATGAGGCTCTGGGGACCTTGGAAGAGGCAAAGAAACTGTTTCCAGGCCGCACGTCCATTGACCTCATCTTTGGCCTCCCTGGCCAGAGTGTTGCCTCGTGGACCAAGGGATTAGAAGAGCTACTTCAGCAGTGCGATGACCATGTGTCTCTGTACCAGTTGACGCTGGAGAGGGGCACCTCCCTCTTCAGACAGGTCCAGCAGGGCTCTGTGCCCGCGCCGAAGCAGGAGGTGGTGGCGGAGATGTATGAAGTTGCCCGGGAGATGCTGCGAGACACGGGGTACCGACAGTATGAAGTCTCCAATTTTGCCAGGAATGTGAGTCCCTCCCCTCGGCCTGTCCCTTCATGGTGTGTCCCAGCTCTGATGGGGATGAATAAACCTAAGGAAGTAGAACGCGACTGGTGAAAGGGTCTGAGCTCCCCAAGCAGGGGACATGTTTGGCAGTGAGATCTGGGGGAGCAAAGAGGTCAAGGGGGGCCCTCTCTGGATGTCAGGAGTGGGGACGAGTGTTAAGCATGCTCTCTGCTGGCCATGTGCACTGATTCCCACTCTTAGCAGGAAGTGGTGGGCCTAAGGAAGTTCAGAGGTGGGTAATTGACTAATCCTGTAGTTGATACAAATTGTATCAGCTGCACGATTAGTTGATAAGGCTCTACAGTTTAAATGTAGTAGGAGCCAGGCGTGCAGGCTCCTATTACATTTAAACTGCAGAGGCGCAGCGGGGGTGGGTCCTACAGAGCCAGGACTACTGTGGCTCTGCATTTTAATGATCCCGGACCGGTGCAAGCTGGGACTGACTTCAAGGCAGCAGCCCCCGTCCGCAGAGGCAGTGCGGGGGAGTGAGAGGTGCCACCGGCTCCTGTTTCCCCTTTGCTGCCTCTGATACAGAGGCAGCCAGGAGGGGGGGGAAGGGAGAAGAGAGTAGTTGACTACTCTGTTACATCCCTAGGTGGGCCATCAGGCTGGACTGTCTTTTCGGCCTGAGAGAGACAGGGGAAGCCCAGCACTGAAAGAGGAAGCCCAGAGAACTTACCATGCACACTGTGAGGAAGCTAAACCCCATCACATGATGGGCCACAGCCTGCTAGGTGCCGAGCGCTTGCAAGTCGCAGGGCTTCTCAGATGTCATTGCACCACAACTGCCTTCTGACAACAAGCGTTACCACACCTCCCCCGGAGGGGAACAAAGCCTGAGCCCTGTGGGGGAGGGAACCAAAGCCCAAGTCCCACTGTGCTGTGGTGGCGGGTCAAAGTCCAGGGGCTTCAGTGCTAGGCAGGGGAGCTCAGGCTTTGTCCCCGCCCCGGGAAGTCTCATGCCACCCCTGGCAACCCCATTAAAATGGAAGCATGACCCACTTTGGGGTCCTGAGCCACAGCTTGAGAACCACTGCAGTAGGGAGGAGTCACCCTCCTGCAAGCCTTCTGGCTGACTGTGTCATTTTCTCCTGCAGGGGGCGCTCAGTGCCCACAACCTGTCTTATTGGCAAGGCAGCCAGTACATAGGGATTGGGCCAGGTGAGTTCCCTGGGGAAATCTCGCCAGATGGGGAGGTGAAAAGGCTACAAAGCAGCCTGTCTAGTGGGTCCAGTTGTCCTCTACATGGAGCTGTTGCAAGAATGCTCACCCACCCCCCTCCAAGGCTCCTGGTGCTCCCGATGTAGGCATCTGGGTGATGATTGACCCTTGTGGACATCACCTCGCACCCCCCAGCAAGAGTTCCCTCTAAGGCTCCAACGCTCCTTGTGCTCCCGATGTAGGCACCTGGGTGATGACTGACCTTTGTGGACACCACCTTGCACCCCCCAGCAAGAGTTCCCTCTAAGCTGCTTGGCCACACTGCTGCCTAATAAGCCCCGCACAAGGGCTCAGAGCTTGGAGTTGCCGTAGCCGGAGGCAGGAGAGACCCCTTCTCAAAGTTATAGCCAGGTCAGAGGTACCTGTCCTCCAGCCCAATTAAGATTCTTCGGAGCTGCCAGAGAGGCACCTCTCGCCTGGCCCAGCACTGCTGCAGTGAGACAGGACTGCAGTACCCAAAACCTGTCATTCCCAGCCTCTTCCCAGATCCAGCACCCCCAGCCAGAGCCTTTACCCCTTCATGTGTCGCACATCCGCCCCATGTTGGTGCACATGACAAAATTCATTCCGCACAGGGACATAGCAGGAGGGAACACTGTGGCTTGCAGTCCCCTGGCTCTGACACGAGGCAGTGCTGCTGGGGTGGGGGAAGTGATGAGTTCCAGCAAGGTTGGAATGCCTGCCTTTATCCTAGGAGCTCACGGGAGGTTTGTGCCACGAGCACACGGGGAGAACCTTCGGGAGGCCAGGATACAGACCCTGGAGCCGGACAGCTGGATGAAGGAGGTGCAGGCCTTTGGACATGGCACCCGGAAGCGGGCTGCGCAGGGCGAGCTGGAGGTGTGAGTATCAGGACAGGCCCGACAGTCTCAGTGTTTTGGTGCATGTGGCCTCTCCTGCAAGCTACTGAGATAAAATAACCTGGGTGCAGATCACTTGCCACCCATCATTTCCCTGCCTTTGCAGGGCCTCAAGTGTGCATGCACCTCGATCCCTCCCATTCTCTGCCTGTGGCACATATCGGTCTCCTGTGGGCTGAGGAACTCTGTGCTGGTTTTGGTCGTCAGGTTTAGCATGCAGGAGCAGGGCTGTGGAAGTGGCCTGCCACACGCAGGCCAGGCGAGATGATCTGGTGCTCTCTTCTGGCCTTACACTCTATGATTCTGTGAAAGCAGAAGCCTGAGCCAGCCATTCCCCTGCTGAGTAAATTATGAAAGACAAGAGGAGCTTTGCCAGAAGAGCTGCGGTCTCTGTTCTCCTTCCAGAGCCTATCTGGGCGGCCATTTCCAGCTTACGCTCCAGTGCAGCCGCCTTGCATCTTCAGCCCCAGATGCAGAACCGCTTTCTGGAGCCTGCTAGAGACCCGAGAGCCCTCCAGCCTCTCTCTTTGTGTTGTAGGTTGGAAGAGGTTTTGGTTCTGGGACTCCGCACGGATGTGGGACTCGCACACCAGGTGAGAGCTGGATCTCTGTTGTAGCAGCCTGTCCTGTGTGGGTTTGAACTCGTGCTCCGCACGGATGTGGGAATCGCACACCAGGTGAGAGCTGGATCTGTTGTAGCAGCCTGTCCTGTGTGGGTTTGAACTTGTGAGCACTGCTTTCACAGCTGGGAGCAGACAGGGCCACCTAGAGGAGCTGTTTCCAAGAGGAACGCTATTCCAGAGCTGTGTCTGGATGGCTCGGCAATGGGTGGTCTCTTCTCTGCTGGAATTCTGAGCAGCTCTGGAACTCCCACGGTTCCCTTAATGTGAGTTACCACACATCACCTCTCGCCCTGTCCAGCTGCTCTGGGCAGAAGGCCCCACAGGATAGATTTTTAAAGGTATTTAGGTGCCTACAAATGCAGATAAACATTTGGAAATCAAAGGGCAGTAGGCATCAATGTTCCCAATAATTTTTTCCATCCATGTGCAGAATAAATTTTATGTGCACCATAGCTTTTGCAGATGTGCACAACCAATAGAAACACATTCAGTTGGCTGTGGGCGCTCTGCTGATCAGCTGGGTGGAATTGGAATCTTTCCTGCTTTACTGCCCAAGGGCACTACTTACAGGGAACACAGGTAAGCACCTAAGTGCATTTGAAAATCCCACTTGGTGCCTAAATGCCTTTGAAAATTTGGCTCAAAGGCCTCAAATCCAAAAGGTGAATTCATTAATTCCACAAGCCTTTACAGTCAGGATTCAGTCCCGGTCCCTTGCGGTTGGACAGGATTCAACTGAATGTGGCACCTTTTGATATTCTAATCCCTTGCATTGTGTTTAAACATGAACCACTCAAATGGGTGTGTGTAATATTTTTCTTCTGGATAGTGGAGTTTTGAAGCTGTGTGAAATCAATGTTAGGTTGCAAACTTCAGAAAGAAGAACCATAATGTTTTGTTCAGGGTTATGAACATTTCAGAGCTACGGAGAACCTCCATCCCGGAGATGTTCATAATGCTGAGGTTCGACTGTAAATTCATTTTTCAGTAACCGATGCTGCCAGGGCAGTGAGTGTGAAGTGTTGTGTGCTTGGCAGCAGCACAGCTGGATGGTAGAAACTGTTGGTTGATCAGGACTCACAAGTGGCCCCTTGCTCCAATGTTTGTCATGAAGAATCCTGAGATCTGGGACTTAAAGCAAAGAGGAACAGAAGGCATCTCTGTTTAGCATCTTCCCCAAAGGGCAGCGCATTCAGTGCTGCAGCCAGTGTTCTGTCTAAGCTGCGTGGGCAGCACATCTTCACAGGTGCTTAATCAGTCCCACCCAGTCACTCGGCTCTCTGAGCCTGTGATGCTGTGCTACCCCGCAGCTTAGAGGGAACATGGGCTGTAACCCTACCACCAGGAATGCAGCATCTGCGCTGGCTAGGAGCCGAAGTCCTGGTGCATGGGAGTGGGCAGCTGGTAACGTAGGCAAGGGAAGGCATTGTCTTCCCAAAACTGCCCACGCTCGGGACGGCTGGGATTGCAGCGCAGCTACTTGGCTTTTGGGAAGGCTGGGGCCAAAACAATGTAGTTGCCCGGTTTGCTGGGAAGGCTGGGGCCACGTCACCCACTGGGAGAGGGGAGGCTAAGGAACTTGAGTGTTTAGGGTCTGTGGGCATTAACCTGGGCTTGGGGCTGCCTGCTGTGTTGGGAGCCGAGCTTGGCTCCACAGGGGAGTGGGGTGTTGTAGAAGGGGGAGCTGGGTCTTGCCTTCCCCACCTGGGCGTTCACCCACCACCCCTGCTTGGCTGACAGGTTCTCTCACCCTTTAGCCCTGACTTCTAGGCTGAGGGAGGAGTTCAGTCTCTATTGGCCAGTCAGCCCTGGGATGTTGGAGGCAGGTGCATAACACTGGGCCGTGCAAACTGCTCCTTGGACTGCATGCCTCAGCCAGAGATTCAAAGGGGCTTTTGGTTCAGCCTCCTTTTTAACAGACATCCATCGAAACTGCACCTGCACTTTTGGCACCCTCAACTTGTCATTTGGGCAGCTCAGCCCCTGATTCCTCTCTGCGATGGAAGCTTTCAGAGCACAGCAGGGATTGTATTGTCTAAATAAAGGGTGCAAAACACATGAGAGCTGGTTTTGTAGGAGCAATGCAGATGCAGAAAGGAGGCAGCCCTGAGAAAGGTTCGGCCTCTCAGACACTCATGCCTTGCTCTCTAGCGCAGGGGTGGCCAACCTGTGGCTCCAGAGCCACATGTGGCTCTTCAGAAGTTAATATGTGGCTCCTTGCACAGAGCTACAGGTGCCAACTTTCCACTGGGCCAGATGGTGCTCACTGTTCAACCCCCAGCTCTGCCCTTTTCCCCTATAGCATCCTGCCACTTCCTACCTTCTCCACTGAGCCTGTCACACCCATGCTTCCCCTTCCAGTGTCTCCCACTGAGACAGAGCTGATCACAGTGGGCAGGAGGAAAAAGAGAAGCAGGCACTGACCAGTGGGGCTGCTAGTGGGTGGGATGTGCTGAGCGTGGTGGTGGGGAGATGAGCAGGGCTGGTGGCATAGAACTGTGGCTCTTAGGCAATGTGCATGGGTAAATTCTGGCTCCTTCTCAGGTTTAGGTTGGCCACCCCTGGCCTAGCGCTTTGTGTGGAATTGGTTATTAGGCAGGTGAAACTAATACACAGAATACAAGATCAAAGTTTTAGTAAACTCCTGTCAGTCAGTATTTGCAATGGGTCTCTCCCCTGCTTCCCCACCAGCACTGGCTGCAGTTTGCCCCCAGCCTGAGCCTGTGGGACGTGTTTGGAACCTCAGTGGAAGTGAAAGAGCTGGAGGATCAGGGCTTGCTGCTTTTGGACAATCGGTAAGGGACAGACTGACGTGGGGGAAGGGCTCTGTTCTCTGATGGGCGGGGTGGTTCATGGCTTGCTTTTTTCCAGGGGGCTCAGGTGCTCATGGAAAGGTTTGGCTGTGCTGGACTCTCTGCTGCTGACTCTCCTCAACCAGCTCCAGCAGTCCTGGGAAGACAGAACAGCCCATGGGACCTGAGGCTAGACAACTCTGCCAGCCAGGAGATGGCAGGCTTCCCCGGCAAACTCCAGCATTCCTGGATTGACAGTCCCTGAGAGGAGACCAGAAGATGGACAGACCTTGCATCCAGCTGCAACGGATTTTAGTAGGGGAAGCTGATCCTAAGCGTGCAAAGGAACAACTTGGCTCTTGGCGGAAGTCTGCTGGCCTCCCTCCGTGTGCAAAATCCAGGACTAGGGCCAAATCCAGGCTTGGAGTAAATTGATGGAATTTGCACCTGTTTGTAGCTGAACGGAAGTGGTTTATTTATTTATTTTAACATGCACAATATCTGCTCAGTGGCTGCTGCAGAAAATATGCTGAAATGTGTCTTAATATTACATCGACTGGAAAAATACATGATAGTGTGGAGGTCAGTGACTTAAACTACTTGAAAAACAATTAAGGGGCTGTGCCTCCTGCCTACTAGGTTCGCCAACCCCCCTCTCTCTGGGAGTACGCAACCCCGGCCCTGCCCCTGGCCACCAGTATGGGCTGAACCAAGGCCGTGCTAGCCTCAGCTCTACTCCCTGGCTCAGGCCACCCGAATCCCAGCTGTTCCCACCCTGGCCCAGGCTGCACCAGTCCTGGCTCTCTCCTACCCCACCCCCCCACCAGCCTGGGGGAGAGGGGAAGAGCCAGGGCCCGGAGCTCCATGGACCACAGCCCACCCCCCTCTTTCCATCTCTACATCCCCATCCCCTGCCTCCATTTGTACACCCACCATCCTCACTATCCCCTCCCACCCTGCCCATCCCCCTCCCATACATACCCCCTCGCCCTTGCCTCCAGTCCTACACCCACCCAGCTCCCCTAATCTTCCCCCTCCTCACACTGCCTACTCCCACCTCCTTCCTCCCTGAGCCCCCATCCTTTCCTAACCCTTCCCCCTCTGCCCATCCCCTGCCTCCATTACTATATGCCCCTCACCCCCACTATCCTTCTTTACTGCACCACCCAGCCCCACGTGCACCCTATCTCCCTTCCTCCCTCCCCACGCACACCCTGCCCCTTCCCACAAACGAGCAACCTAACCAGCAAGGAGACAGCACCAGCCCTCCGACCACTGCTGGGTCGTCCCTTTGTGACGCCTCAGGGGTTGCTGGGCTACAAGTTCCACCGGGGCAGCTTGGTGCTGGGCTCAGGACGTAGCCACTCCCGCAACAGGGGAGGGCATGTGGCTCACGGCTCCGGTCCGTCTCCCCCGTGAGGCCACGTGACTCTTGGGCCCCTGCTGCTAGGGGAGAGGGCATGTGGCTTACGGCTCCGGCCCCTCCCCCATGAGGGGGGTGTATGCGGCTCTGATGTCCCTCCCCCCACGAGGGAAGAGGGCACGCAGCTCTGGGTCCCCCCACAAGGAGGAGTAAAATGCGGCTCTCCGCCTCTCGCCCCCCCCGCCCGCCGTGAGGGGAGAGGTCACGTGGCTTTGTCCTCCCCATGAGGGGGAGTGCTTGTGGCTCTGGCCCCTCCTCCCTGTGAGAGGAGAGGGCACGCAGCTCTGGTCCCCCCAGGAGAAGGGCGTGCAGCGCCTGGCCCCCAGGAAGTGGGAGGCCGCATGGCTCAGGCCACGCTGGAGTACCTGGGAGGGAGGAGCCAGGACTGCTGAGGGCAGAGGGAGGAGCTGTGAGACACAGTGATATGATGTCACTCTGTAGTCCTGCGGGAAAAACTTTTTCATAGGTATAGTAAAATGAGTAGTCCTGTGACACCTTAGAGACTAACAAATACATTAGAGTAAGTTTAACCCACGAAAGCTCATGAGCTAATGTATTTATTAGTCTCAGAGGTGCCACAGCAGTACTCATTTTTTAAGATACAGGCAGTCCCCGACTTACGCGGATCCGACTTATGTCGGATCCGCACTTACGAACGGGGCTTTCTCGCCCCAGAAGTCGG